GCCAGTTCTGGGCTAGCGAAGGTCAAGTCGACTCCCGACCTGTCTTGCTAAAGGTTGGTATGTTCCCTTCGTTGAGTAGGCATACATTTTACGAAGCCACTGCCTCAAGGAGGATGGTTGAGTATTGGAGACCTGCCGCGTGCGTCGTCAGTGATCTCCTGCATTATTGCTCTGAACTCGGTAATGCGTACGCTCGGGGCAATGTAGCAGCTGTAGATTGTTAGTTATAGCATCGGCTGGGCTCCACATTCTGACTTATGCGGCAGACGACCCATCCAACCCTGATTTTTTCCTTGTCGAGGATCCGCTGTGCATGCTCAGGTCTGAGGTGGACCGTCGCCGTTTGGGTTCCGCCATAATCCTTTCGCATCCTAGTTGCAGCGCACGTTGGCGCATTCCTCCTCAGTGTAGACTGTAGTACCTTTTCGCAGGTGGTCATCTCGTCCAGGTCGCGGAGTTGATCGTGACGACCTTCTTGTTGTTACTCTTCGTGTCCGTGAATTTCGCGATCATTTCGTCGAGCATCTTGCCCAGTTCATCGATGAGAGCTGCGGCGTTTTTCTGGACCCGCTGCTTGCTATGGGCTCCATTGATCGCCTCTTCAGAGCTGGTTGGTTCCCGACTTCTCTTCGGCGTGGTTTGTGCATCTTCATTACTGCTGAAGTTGAACATTGTCCAGGTTACTTTGGGAGGCGCTGACAATTGGTGAGCCTCGAAATTCTGTTTTAACCTCGTAGGAGACCGCGGCACCTTCTGTTTCATCATTTGAAACTTCTTTAACAGCTCTGCAAAAGCTTGGGTCTCGTCATGTCCGGACCCTTTCTCCGTGTCCATCGCCTGCACCAGTCGGAGGTCGCTCGGTGAATCGGGATCTCCCCCGGTTTATGCCTGATGGGAGCTATACCGCTCCGACTCGAGCTGGCGCCGCTATCGCGGTGGGGTTGGGAATTGGCCGGTATCTTGGCTTTTTGCTCACCCCTGCACATAGGTCCCAATGCCCAATATTTTTGCAAAAACCTATTTTTTTTTAAGTTACGAAAAAAACAAGAAAGGAAGCTACCTTCGGCCAGCCGAAGCTTATATACCCTTGCAGATAAAGTAATGCTCACTCGGTGCAGTTCCAGGGATTCCAGATTCAGCGTTTCTATTTAAATTTTTTTTTTAAGTAGTCAAGAATGCAAAACGCCTACTTCCTACAAAGTTACAATGAATTTTCTTATATTTGTTTGAACATTCCTATGGAAGCCTTAAGAAATAGTGGTCCGATCCGGCTCCCTCCGACATATGTACTACCTGCAATAGAAAGAAGACTTTCGGGAAAGTTTCATCGCGATAGCTTTAAAACTGAGAGACTAGTTCGCATAGAAACGGACAGACGGACAGACAGACAGACGGACAGACGGACATGGCTAGATAGACTCGGCTATTGGTGCTGATCAAGAATATATATACTTTATGTGGTCGGAAACGACTCCTTCACTGCGTTGCAAACATCTGACTGAAATTATAATACCCTCTACAAGGGGATAAAAACATTTTATCTCCTTAGAATAATATACGCTACATTTAAAAATCGCAATTTCGTTACTAAAATTGCAGCCATGCTAAATTTGGTGGCCCTGAAAGTCAACTGTATGTTAAACAGAAATTTTGACTTTTTGACAAGCTGAACAATAGCACATTTTAAAGTAAGATTGCAAAACATTTTAAAACAAAGTAAAATGGAAAATATTAGTAGAAATATGTAAAACTTAAGTGTTTAGTGCAATATTTGTTTAATGTGATGTGTCTTTGTGTATACGTGCTTTTGTAAAGTTGTATATTTAACAATTTTAGCCTAGCATTTTTCGTCTTTCGTGGAATAAAAGTAGGTTGGATTGTGCCGGATTATAAAAACTAACAACGCAGTTTTGTTCTTAAATGTATTTACAATACTATGACATAAACCTTTTTTGCTCGATTTTGCTCCTTTTTAAAAAAAACAAACTTTTTGCTAGACAACATAGACCTAAGCTATGCAGAAATGCTAGAGTATTGGCTGGCAAAAAAATGCTTTCGGATAATAATGATAAAGATGACTTGAAAACATGTGGCCCCGGTATTCCGTTTAATAACGAGTGTTCGTCATTAGACGACGTTGTATTATTATAAAACTGTTTATTATATGTATTATTGATATTTAGGCTAGAGATTACAATTTTAATTGCGGTTTTAAAGTCAGTCTTGACATTGACTGAACTTTACTCGCTTTTTGTACTCTCGATCGACTGTTCTAGAAACGCCGACCACTACGAGTTTGTCGTCCTATTTGCTCTTCTCGTATCGATGCCTATTTCTTTGATTTAGATAGAGAAAGTGACTAAAAATCAATTAAGATAATATGTTATAATTGTTTAAGATGCATTATTTAGTTTAGAAGTATAAGATTTGAGGGGCGGGAGGGAATAGGAAATTGAGGCGATATTTACTAAACTTATTTTATATATATTTCAAATTCCAATTGAATGGATATTTTGTAAATTTTTGTCCGAGGGTGCATTGGTTTCTGTAGGGCGGAAAGGAAGGCGTGGCCCGATCGGCACAAAATTTTGTGCGTGTCCACCAAGCTTGGCCGCCTGTTGGAAGCATAGCAGTGTGTTTTGTTGGGTGGATAGAACCTTCCTGTCGCGTCTGTGCACTATGGGGCATTTGACCTGTTTTTTTGGCATTAATTAATAATTCCAAAACAAAGCAACTTTTTTGAGTTTGGTTTTTTGAAACATGTTTATAATAATTAAATACATCTTTTTGAGCAAAAATTAAACACTATAATAAATTTATTCAAAAAAAAAAATTTTTTTTTCCTTAAACCTACAATAAAAAAATTTTTTTTTATGCTTTCTAATAATGAAGAAACATATTAAAACAAACAAAAAAAAATTTTTTTGAAAACTTTCTTCTTTGAAGAGATATTGACTTTTTCCTGTAAAATCCGACATTTTTGTATGCCAAATACTGGATATGCCGTATAAAAAAATATTTTCCATAAAAATAAGACGCGGAATGTTTTTAAATCAAATATAATGCTATGGCGAAGACTTTTGCATTAAATTTATTTAACATTTCATCTTACAAAACAAGAAGAAGACAAATAAAGTGTTAATTTGACAATTTTTGGCAGTGCCGTAAAAACTGAATTTCTCTTAAAGTCGCAAAAAGTGCACATTAAGACTGGATGTCCCGAATAGAGAATTGACCTCCTTTAAAATGATTCAACCCACAGGCTCAACAAATTTCAACATTTCTTCTAATCTCTATTCAAAGTTGAACTTTCTTTTTCCAAACCTTTAAGAGAGACTACTTGGAATATGAAGCCATTGCTACAAATACACTCACGAAATAAGCATCACAGTAGTATTAACATAAAGTAGAGACAGTTTTAATGAATATCCATTTCAAATTTTATGGTTATACGTCTTGTCGTTGAAGAGATATTAATTTATATATGCCCTGCAAAATCAAGCAAAGTATGAACACGTTGTGTTCCCTTGCTGCGCCTGACTTTAACAGCTGTTATTTTAACATTGGACTGTTAACTTAACATTTGCGGTATGTAACATTTCATTTTGATCTATTCTTAATACGTTTCCAATAATGTTTCAAAAATTTGAATACTTGTAAAAAACACATTTATGCCAAAAAAAACAGGTCAAATGCCCCATAGTGCTGTGGTACGTACCTGCAACCTGTGGTGTTCCGCACTAAACAAGTCACACTTTTAGTTATTTTAGGCCTTTGCGCCGCACACTGGGCCAGAAAGTTAATTTTTTGTCAAAAAATCTTAATTTCTTTCCTAGGACAGTTAGAAGGATGCAGTTTTTTGCGTTTTTTTCCTAATAGATTGATCTTCCCAACAACCTAACAGTAAAATTTCTTGAAATTTTATATGATAAAGATAATTCAAACCAAAGTCGGAAAATTTTACATATTTTATTATTTAAAAAAAAATAACTAGAAGGCGCTCTCGATCCGTTTTCATTTACGATAAAGTATGAGATAAAACAAAATAAAAAAATTAACATCACTAAAAAATATTATCTCGTTTAAGATTTATGAACCGTTAAAAACTGCAACTTTCGGAGGCTCCAACATCAACGTTTGTCAAACAATCGATAAAAAAAAAATTTTATATTTTTTTATTGTTTTCTTTTAAGATTTTTATAATCAAATTATTAAAAAAAAATGTTTTAAAAATATGGTTTTTTTAATTTGTTTAATGTTTATTTGACATATTTTCAAGTCATCACAAAAGTATGCTACATTTATACTTGCATAGTTCAGATTAGATATTTCAGTTCTCATCTGAAAAAATTACAAGAAATACTGCATACCTTTGGGCATACTTAAGTCCCCCCTTAAATCCCTTAAGCCTTAAGCGGGCATTTCGCCTCTGCGCTGTAATTTTCTGTTTAATAGTTTCCGGATATAAACTATTTAGATTTCGAAAATACCATGATCAATTAGAGTACGTAAAAAGTAGATTTTAGATCTTAGTTGCCCTAAAATCAAGTTTTGGGGCGCAAAATGTTTACTGAAACCTGAAGAATGTTCACGCCAAAAAGGCTTTTATATGTCCACATCTCGCTCGCTCGCACTGCCCTTCGCTCTCCCTCTCCAACTCTCCCCAAAGTCACCGCTACTCTCAGGAGCCTCTAAGCTAAGATTATTGTACTCAGTATATATTTCCAAGTGTACCAATAAATAGCCACACGCCGCGCAAAACCCCGAAGTATTTTCACCCGTGTTTTCGAATTGATTTCTGCGAGGATGATCGCGCATTTCTTCCTGGCATTTCAGCTTCTTTTATCGAGCCACCCCCGCCCCAACAATGACAAAGAAGTCGATTTTATTTTGTAAACTGGTGTAAGCGAACCCATTTTACTTTACAATTATTTTTAAATAAATATTTACGGACAGTCAAGAAATCAGTCCTTAATAGTATATTTAAAACTCGTATTAAATGGTTTTATTTTTCTTGTTTGTATTTGTTTTGTTCTTGATTATTTACAATTATATTTTTAATGAAAAAACCATACTTAAAAATTGTTCATAATGTATGGTTATGATCCCATCCATATCAGTGTCGTGCTGTCGGAATGCAGTTGTTAAAGTCTGCAATAAAAATTTATAATAACATTAATAGACAATATTAAATATAAAAGGATATACACAGTTAAAATGGGTCGATAAGTTTGAGGTGTGCAAATATTCCATACTAACTACATTCTTAACTGTATTTTTGGTAACCACAAACCTAAATGAGCATAAAACATATAATTTCAGACTTGAGTTTTCTGAGTAAAAAACAAGAAAGGAAGTTAGCTTCGGCCAGCCGAAGCTTATATAAAGTAAATACCTATAGTTTAATGCTCACTCGGTGCAGTTACAGGGATTCCAGATTCTGCGTGCCTATTTAAACGCCTACTTTCTACAAAGTTACAATGAATTTTCTTATATTTGTTTGAATATTCCAATGGGAGCCTTAAGATATAGTGGTCCGATCCGGCTCGCTCCGACATATGTACTACCTGCAATAGAAAGAAGACTTTCGGGAAAGTTTCATCGCGATAGCTTTAAAACTGAGAGACTAGTTCGCATAGAAACGGACAGACGGACAGACAGACAGACGGACAGACGGACATGGCTAGATAGACTCGGCTATTGGTGCTGATCAAGAATATATATACTTTATGTGGTCGGAAACGACTCCTTCACTGCGTTGCAAACATCTGACTGAAATTATAATACCCTCTACAAGGGGATAAAAACATTTTATCTCCTTAGAATAATATACGCTGCATTTAAAAATCGCAATTTCGTTACTGAAATTGCAGCCATGCTAAATTTGGTGGCCCTGAAAGTCAACTGTATGTTAAACAGAAATTTTGACTTTTTGACAAGCTGAACAATAGCACATTTTAAAGTAAGATTGCAAAACATTTTAAAACAAAGTAAAATGGAAAATATTAGTAGAAATATGTAAAACTTAAGTGTTTAGTGCAATATTTGTTTAATGTGATGTGTCTTTGTGTATACGTGCTTTTGTAAAGTTGTATATTTAACAATTTTAGCCTAGCATTTTTCGTCTTTCGTGGAATAAAAGTAGGTTGGATTGTGCCGGATTATAAAAACTAACAACGCAGTTTTGTTCTTAAATGTATTTACAATACTATGACATAAGCCTTTTTTGCTCGTTTTTGCTCCTTTTTAAAAAAACAAACTTTTTGCTAGGCAGCATAGACCTAAGCTATGCAGAAATGCTAGAGTATTGGCTGGCAAAAAAATGCTTTCGGATAATAATGATAAAGATGACTTGAAAACATGTGGCCCCGGTATTCCGTTTAATAACGAGTGTTCGTCATTAGACGACGTTGTATTATTATAAAACTGTTTATTATATGTATTATTGATATTTAGGCTAGAGATTACAATTTTAATTGCGGTTTTAAAGTCAGTCTTGACATTGACTGAAATTATAATACCCTCTGCAAGCGTATAATAACATTTGGACTTTCCGTAGAGTATTTTTTTAATAACTATTTTTCTTCAGTACATTTTCTAAAAATTTGGGTGTCTTTATCAAAAACATTAGTAATTTTTCATAAATAGCGCTGAAATTGTATCCGAATCGTGTATGTATTTATTTAGATATATATATTAAGAGTACTAAGAATTGATGTACTTTATTGTAAACTAGCAATACCCAAAGCGACGTTGTCCGCTACTATTAGCAAAGCATTTATTGCTGATTTTTTCATATGTTCAAATTTAAATTAATACCAGAGTAAAAACCCGCCTAACCTTAGCTAAACAGTAAACCCACCTAGAACGCACTAATATTCTATCCATATCCTTCTACCCATAACATACCTTACCTTAACACCGCATTAGCCCTAATATTTCCTCACCTTAACCCCACCTATTTTATTCTAACCCTTAGTAAAACTTGTTTGTCACCTTGACCCACCTTATCCTCACTAACCTTACCTTTCTCACCTTCACCCTTCCCTTACATTACTTCTACCCTAATCTATCTAATACCTCCTTAATCGCAACTTAGCCCCGCACTAACCTCACCTTATTCTCACCATATCTACACCGTTCTGGTAGCCTAATTATATAATTTTGGTTAGCTAATCGAATGCAGAGAAAAACTCTTACTCATTTTTACCGTTTATTTCGAACAGATCTAACCCCCAAAACGGATCCGCTCGCAAGACCGGTAGGTAAACAAAAAAAGAAGTGCCACAATGTTGGCTGGGGATCAACAGGTGGAGTTACATAATTCCGGAAATAAAGAAAATTAAAAAAGCGCCTAAAGCTTTAAATCTTTTGGGTGAAAACTGTGGGTGTAATTTTGGAGACGAAAATTTCCAACAATTTTTTTTTTAATTTTTGCAAAATATTTGATTCAGAATTGCATCCTTTAGGTGATCCGTTGTTTTATCCTAATTTAATCATTACATACTTATGTACATGACAATTTATCCATGTGTGTGTGTCTTTGCGTTTCTCACATGCAAATGTGACGACTGAAAGCTTTTCCTTGCTCTCCCCTTGAAAACCAATCCAACATTTTTTTAAAATCAAAACAAAAATTCCTTGTCCTTTCTATGGGTTGGCTACACACTTTGACTTAGAATTGCATCCATTAGATAACACTAGTTTACAGCCAAAATGCTCCCCAGCAATTGATGGCAAATTCTGTCAGTGTTTCTGTCAGTTTTTTTTCGATGGCACAGTTTTTTTTTAAAGATTTTTTAAAGTTCAAAATGTTAAATTTCGGACTTTATTCGAATTTATTCTTATATTTCGGCAGATATCATCCCGATTGGGCCAGTTTTAAATTTATTTTTAAGTCAATAGATCAGAGCTTAACTTTGCCATACAGATCAATATGATTGGACTAGTAATGGCAGCGCAGAAGCTTGACACAGATGAAAAATGAGTTTTTTGGTCGACTGTAAGTCGGCTGTACATGTCGTAAAAACTCGAAATAAATCCGTTGAAAAATCATAACGAATACAAACTTAAAGTTTACATCCTACCAAATAAAACAAGCCGGATATGGCCCAAATCCGTGGAAAACTGGATTTATGGTGGATTTTTAAAGTTAGGATTTTTCCACTGTTTTCGGTTGACAGAGTCCAAATTTAAGATTTATCATAGGCGGCGACACGTAAACATAAATGAGTGGTGACGGCAACGGCGTCAAAAAAAAAGCTAAATTTAAAAGCTAGAAAATTATATAAATGAATTTAATTTCTAAAAATTTCTAAAAAAAAAATATAAAATTGCTTGCGTTATGAATGTACGTATTTTTAATAAGTAACATCCATTTGGATAATTAATAAATTTCAAATATTAAATTCACTTTTGTAATATTTTAGCTATTAAATATCTGATTTAGCTATTTTTTGACCCGGCTGCCATCACCACAAATTTTTGTGTACATGTCGCCGCCTACGATAAAACTTAAATTTGAAATCTGTCGATCAAAAGATGTGGAAAATCCTAACATTAAAAATCCACCATAAATCCAATTTTCCATTAATTTGGGCCATACCCGGCTTGTTTTATTCGGTAGGATGTAAACTTTAAGTTGGAACCCATCATGATGACACATTTTTCATCTTTGTCGAGCTTCTGCGCTGCCATTACTTATCCAATCTTATTGATATGTATGGCAAAGTTAAGCTCTGATCTATTGACTTTAAAATAAAACTAAAACTGGGCCAATCGGGTGGATATCTGCCGAGATACAAGAAGAAATTCGAAAAAAGTCCGAAATTTAACATTTTAAACTTTAAAAAATCTTAAAAAATAAAACTGTGCCATCGAAAAAAAAGTTAGTGGTATTTTTGTGATCTAAGGGGTCCATCGCTAAAAGAATTTGCCATCAATTGCTGGGGAGCACACCAAGAATATTATTTTGTAAACTAGTGTAATCCGTTCATTTGCCGCCTCTCTTTCGCTTCAAATGACTCTCTCTCTGCTCACTACTCCTCACTCTGCTTCAGCTGACGTTCGTGAGTGGTGCGAACTGCCGAAGCATACAAAAAACAACAAGAGAGAAGTATAGTCCGGTTGGTGTCCCGACTATCTAATACCCGTCACTCAGCTTAAGGGAGTGCGAACGCTGTACTCGGGTTGGTGTCCCGTCTATCGTAACTCAGCTAAAGGGAGTGCGAGGGAGATGGATATATAACTTTTCTTGATTGCGCATAACTTTTAAATGAATGGTCCGATTTGAAAAATGTTTTCTACACTTTGATAGGTATAAATATACACAACAAAATTGCATTTATACTTCTCGGAAATCTTCAAGGATGTGGGCGCAGGACACATTTTAAAATCGTTAGTGGGCGATTGTGGGCGTTAGAGGAAGCGTGGCGCTCGTCTGAAATAAAGTTGCGCTGCGTAGGAAGTCCATGAATATGGGTGGAAAATCTCAACCTTCTAGCTTTTGTAGTTTCCGAGATCTCAGCGTTCATACAGACGGACAGACAGACGGATAGACGGACATGGCTAGATCGACTCGGCTAGTGACCCTGATCAAGAATATATATACTTTATGGGTTCGGAAACGCTTCCTTCTAGCTGTTACATACTTTTGCACGAATACAATATACCCTTTTACTCTACGAGTAACGGGTATAACTACTCCTGATAATTTTATAATTAACAAATTTAATTTTAATCACACGCGTAAAATTTCCTCATTTAAAATTTTCCTTCCCGACAGTCTTCTAGCAGAAGTTTTGATTCCTGCATTTAGAAAAACCTTAAATTCTGCGAAACTGGAGGCAGTACTTTTTGGGTTTTTTTCCAGAATTTTTGTTAAAATGTTGCAGAGCTATTATACGTGTTACTAAAGTTGTACTGTAAAGTTTGGTTAAATTACACTGTGCAGCATTTTTAGTGCTTTTTAAATTTACCTCGATGGATGCTATATTTTTGGATTCGTTACGAATTCCAAAGTTAAACTGCGTTTTCCAAAAAGTTACCCGACGCAAGGATTTTTAACAAAAGGACCTCAAAGTTCGAAAAATGCTGAAATTGGCCAACTTTGCGGAGCTCTCAGAGGCAAATGGATGCATGGTTTGGTTCGATGTTAAAGTTTTTTAAAAGATACACCCTTTATCTTTTAAACCCCATACTTAAAAAATTTTTAAGATTTTTTTAAGGCAGAAACAAATTCTAGAAAACATAGTCAAAAAACATAAAAGTATACAGCTGCGGTCAAAATGGTAGTAGTGTTGCCCCCCTGTGTATTTAAAAGTTTGTTGTTGTAATTGATCTTTTCCTGGTAATATTGTATTGATTATAATTTTACTATTAGACTAATTGGATAAGAAATAATTACAACATGAAATTTTTAAAAACACAAGGCGGCAACACTGCTACTATTTTTACCGCAGCTGTATGTTTTTCAGTTGTTTTTTGGAATTTATTTCTGCCTTAAAAAAAATCCTAAAATTATTTTATGTACGGGGTTTGTAAGATAAAGGGTGTATCTTTTAAAAAACTTTAACTTCGAACCAAGCCATGCATCCATTTGTCTCTGAGAGCTCCGCAAAGTTGGTCAATTTCAGCATTTTTCAAACTTTGAGGTCCTTTTGCTAAGAATCCTTGCGTCGGGGAACTCTTTGGAAAACGCAGTTTAACTTGGGAATTCGTAACGAATCCAAAAATATAGCATTCATCGAGGTTTATTTTTGATGCTGCATAGTGTTATTTTAGCCTTATTCACCTCTTTTTAATAGAAACATAGTTATACCCGTTACTCGTAGAGTAAAAGGGTATATTAGATTCGTGCAAAAGTATGTAACAGGTAGAAGGAAGCGTTTCCGACCCTATAAACAATATATATCAGGATCACTTGCCGAGTCGATCTAGCCATGTCCGTCTGTCCGTCTGTCTGTCTGTATGAACGCTGAGATCTCGGAAACTATAAAAGCTAGAAGATTGACATTTTGCATGCAGATTCTAGGAGTTCCTACGCAGCGCAAGTTTGTTTCAAAAGGGTGCCACGCCCCCTCTAACTCCCACAATCGCTTATATACGATTTTAAAAATTGCAATATTTCGGAAAAGTAAAAATTCAGTTTTATTGTATTTATGAATACCTATCGAAATGTAGAAGAAAGTTTTTAAATCGGACCACTCGTTAAAATGTTACGGCGGATCAAAGTTTTTATCTCCTTTGCACTCTCTTTAGCTGAGTAACGAGTATCTGATAGTCGGGGCACCCGACTATAGCGTTCTCTCTTGTTTTTATATAGCTTGTTCTATGAAAATTAAATGACAAAGTAGTTAGAGTTTAATTAAATTCTGATAGTAAGTGCAGAAATTTAGCCAAAGTACAACTGTTAAAAAATATATCCCTTTTTAAAAAAAGTTAATCCTAGAAATATGTTGCACGTATAGAGTATTTTATTAAATTATGTTTTTAGTTGGAAAGGCTGTAAGGCCCATACAAATTTCGAATTGTCTGGTAATGGATGGCATACGGACAGACAGACAGACGGACATGGCTATATCGTCTCGGCTAATGACCCTGATCAAGAATATATATTTTTTATAGGGTCGGAAACGCTTCCTTCTCCCTGTTACATACTATTGCACGAATACAATATACCCTTTTACTCTACGAGTAACGGGTATAAATAGTATTAATATAGAAATATTTGTGAAAAGGTAATAAAATAAGCTTTATTTTTGCATTATTATATTTCTTTGATCTACTGTTCCTCTGCACGAAATAAGCTGTAAGTCACTGTATGTACAATGTTTATTCTATACATTGTACATATACATATTAAGAAAGGAATGCATGTCTGAGAAACAACTACTATACTTACATATAGCACAATGCAACATTGAATAAAATCATCGAACAGGATTGTACCACGTCCAAAACGATCAAACTTGCGTAGCAAAACGTTAATTAAATGGTCGGATAAACGATACCCAAATGATGTCAGCGCTGTCTTCAACTCAGTTTTGTCAATGTTTCCAGAACTATCGCGATCGAATGATCGAAAGCAATTTTGCCAATCCGTCACGTATTTCCATAATGCTCCGAAGTCTTGGAAGGATACGGTGCCTGTATTTTCGCGATCAAACATTCCAATCATCAAACGGATCGTTTCGGGATTAAATGCAGACCATGTACCATTCGAAAGGGCCACTTGTAGCTCATCAGCGGAAATATGACCACTCCTGTCTTTGTCCACTCTAAACGTAATTTCGTTTTAGCCAATACAGAACCTTACATTTTCGACACTTGCCTTTGAAAAACATCCCACAAAAATTGTTGATCTGGCATTCCGTCATTCTGAAAGGTCATTGTTACTGACTTATTTTATTCTTTACGGAAAGAAGTTAGCTATGCTATTCCCGATTTTCATCATCAATAAATTTTAATGAGTAATTTCATCTTAGACTCTATTCCTAAAGAGTTTTAAATCAGATTTCCACTATTCGGTATTATGTGAAAATAGCAACTTCCCACAGAGATCACACCAACTTCCATCATAGCTAGAAAAATATTTATATGTGTTGAAAACTATTGGATCTCGGTAATACTATACATTAGCGGACTCACCCCCGAAATTCGCGAAAAAATTATCCTAGATGGTTGCTTTTCTCATATTTTCAATCAAAGTAATTACTCTTTAATGAGTTCCTATAAAATTAATATATTGTTTAAATGAGTTCCTATAAAATTATTTAATTGTTTAAATAAGTTCCTATAAAAAAATGTAGAATTTTTTTTAATTTAAATAGTTTTAATGAACACTTTTCCGCACCACCATTGAGGTAAAGTTCCAGGTTTTTTTCTTTAATAACCTTTTATGGCCTAGAAATCTCTCTGCTGAAGTATTCCCGAATAGGAAGTATTTGAAAGTAGTGCATTTAAAAAAGAAAGGAAAAGAAAGACTGCGCCGGAGGCGAAAAAAATTTATGAAAAAATCGCGCGATTTTTTCTTTTTCTGTATTAAACAAGTAGTTTTAGCTAAATAAGGGTTATTGTGTCGCTCAGAAAAACAAATTCAATCTTTAAGTTTGGTTTTGGGTGGAAAAGACTAAAAGAAAGGTTAAAATATATATTCCTCTTTGGACCGCGATTTCTTCTGATTATCATTTTAAAAACGCAAATGTGGTCATCCATGGTTATGAGAGTTCTTAAGAAATCGCTGTCCATCGAGGATCATTTTTACGCGGTTGTGAGGACTACTTCCCTCTAATACCAATAACTCAGATGTTTGGAATTTTAAATTAGTCCTATTTTGACAAAAAAGGAAAAGGGTACATATATACACATATGATTTTTATAGCAAACGTTTGAAAAACATACTTGTTTTTTATAGCAAACCCGAGAACTTTGAAATTCAATTACAAGAGAACCATGGCCGACCGCCAAGTTCTTTTTGCACGTAAATTCTTAAGAAATCGCGGTCCATCGAGGATAATTTTTTAGCGAATTTCGGGGGTGAGTCCGCTAATGTATAGTATTACCTTTATTTTTGCTCTTTGAGCTCTGAACATATGATAATCATATGCCAATAATATACCAAAAACCTTTGAAGTATTCGCGTTTTAGATTCGTTAGACTCATTCGTTGGTGACAAAAAGTGGCATAAAGTGTTTATACAAGGTCATAATTTTCTAAGGGATTCGCGATTTTGTTTTTATGTAATAAAGCGTCTTTAGTGATGACAGTAAAGTTGGAAACAAATTTTACAAAGTTAAGGGGGGAGATACATATAGAACTGTAATTTTTTCAAGTTTTTCGTGAATTTTTTAACCAATAAGGAATTGTGCTGGAATTTCGTAACTTGGCTTGTTGATTACATTGTTCTTATATAATTTAATCTTTCAAAATGGCGGCCGTGGGAATTTTTTTGACAGGCTATATTAAAAAAAGTAGTCCAGCTGCGGATCGTCCACAGGTCGCTGTGTAGATCCGATTTTTTATGAAACTAAGTTTATTTTGTTAAAAAATAGAATTACATGGAATATCTCAAAAACTATGGTTGTGGCACTCTTTCAAAGTTAAAAATCTATTGTTTTCATAATTTTTTTTGTTGTTTTTGGCTATCAAAAAATACTTTGACGTACAAATTTCTACATTAAGTAGGTTCAGACAGTGGCCAATTTTATTACAAATATTTCTGTAAAAGCAGCATGATGATCGAGGTATTACTTTTTGAGATACACGATCCGCAGCTGAGGAAAACGTGGTTTCGAGAGAAACGCATTTAAAGTAATGAAATATACCTGCTGCACAAGGAAGATGGGTGCCGTCATCCTGTTATAAGTTCAAAAATATTTCGAATTTCTTCGTGAAATTTTCATGACACATTTTTCAAGAGTTAATCTAGGAATTAAAAAAAATTGAATTATTATTTTTCTATATGTATCTCCCCCCTTAAACCTTTTTGTCTTTATACGGTTTACCCCCTTGGGCATTAAATAATGTTAATATCGAAGTATTTATATCTAATACTTATAGGGTCTTCCCACAGAGCTTCATGAACCTTCAATCCGTTGAACGGATGGTCCGTTTTACCGTTTCGAAAATTTCCCATTTAGTCCGCCATCCAAATTTGACGGACTAAAACTGTGCAACTCGGAATTCTTCCTCTTTACTGTGAAAAATGGAACAATGACTGCGAGAACAAATAGAATCGATGGCGGGAAAAATTTAATAATGCATAAGCTAATTGTTTTTTGGCTATTAATAGTAAGTTAGGCTATCCCCCAGTCAGCATATCTGTCTGTCTGTCTGTCTGTCTGTCTGTCTGTCTGTCTGTCTGTCTGTCTGTCTGTCTGTCTGTCTGTCTGTCTGTCTGTCTGTCTGTCTGTCTGTCTGTCTGTCTGTCTGTCTGTCTGTCTGTCTGTCTGTCTGTCTGTCTGTCTGTCTGTCTGTCTGTCTGTCTGTCTGTCTGTCTGTCTGTCTGTCTGTCTGTCTGTCTGTCTGTCTGTCTGTCTGTCTGTCTGTCTGTCTGTCTGTCTGTCTGTCTGTCTGTCTGTCTGTCTGTCTGTCTGTCTGTCTGTCTGTCTGTCTGTCTGTCTGTCTGTCTGTCTGTCTGTCTGTCTGTCTGTCTGTCTGTCTGTCTGTCTGTCTGTCTGTCTGTCTGTCTGTCTGTCTGTCTGTCTGTCTGTCTGTCTGTCTGTCTGTCTGTCTGTCTGTCTGTCTGTCTGTCTGTCTGTCTGTCTGTCTGTCTGTCTGTCTGTCTGTCTGTCTGTCTGTCTGTCTGTCTGTCTGTCTGTCTGTCTGTCTGTCTGTCTGTCTGTCTGTCTGTCTGTCTGTCTGTCTGTCTGTCTGTCTGTCTGTCTGTCTGTCTGTCTGTCTGTCTGTCTGTCTGTCTGTCTGTCTGTCTGTCTGTCTGTCTGTCTGTCTGTCTGTCTGTCTGTCTGTCTGTCTGTCTGTCTGTCTGTCTGTCTGTCTGTCTGTCTGTCTGTCTGTCTGTCTGTCTGTCTGTCTGTCTGTCTGTCTGTCTGTCTGTCTGTCTGTCTGTCTGTCTGTCTGTCTGTCTGTCTGTCTGTCTGTCTGTCTGTCTGTCTGTCTGTCTGTCTGTCTGTCTGTCTGTCTGTCTGTCTGTCTGTCTGTCTGTCTGTCTGTCTGTCTGTCTGTCTGTCTGTCTGTCTGTCTGTCTGTCTGTCTGTCTGTCTGTCTGTCTGTCTGTCTGTCTGTCTGTCTGTCTGTCTGTCTGTCTGTCTGTCTGTCTGTCTGTCTGTCTGTCTGTCTGTCTGTCTGTCTGTCTGTCTGTCTGTCTGTCTGTCTGTCTGTCTGTCTGTCTGTCTGTCTGTCTGTCTGTCTGTCTGTCTGTCTGTCTGTCTGTCTGTCTGTCTGTCTGTCTGTCTGTCTGTCTGTCTGTCTGTCTGTCTGTCTGTCTGTCTGTCTGTCTGTCTGTCTGTCTGTGTCTGTCTGTCTGTCTGTCTGTCTGTCTGTCTGTCTGTCTGTCTGTCTGTCTGTCTGTCTGTCTGTCTCGTCTGTCTGTCTGTCTGTCTGTCTGTCTGTCTGTCTGTCTGTCTGTCTGTCTGTCTGTCTGTCTGTCTGTCTGTCTGTCTGTCTGTCTGTCTGTCTCGTCTGTCTGTCTGTCTGTCTGTCTGTCTCGTCTGTCTGTCTGTCTGTCTGTCTGTCTGTCTGTCTGTCTGTCTGTCTGTCTGTCTGTCTGTCTGTCTGTCTGTCTGTCTGTCTGTCTGTCTGTCTGTCTGTCTGTCTGTCTGTCTGTCTGTCTGTCTGTCTGTCTGTCTGTCTGTCTGTCTGTCTGTCTGTCTGTCTGTCTGTCTGTCTGTCTGTCTGTCTGTCTGTCTGTCTGTCTGTCTGTCTGTCTGTCTGTCTGTCTGTCTGTCTGTCTGTCTGTCTGTCTGTCTGTCTGTCTGTCTGTCTGTCTGTCTGTCTGTCTGTCTGTCTGTCTGTCTGTCTGTCTGTCTGTCTGTCTGTCTGTCTGTCTGTCTGTCTGTCTGTCTGTCTGTCTGTCTGTCTGTCTGTCTGTCTGTCTGTCTGTCTGTCTGTCTGTCTGTCTGTCTGTCTGTCTGTCTGTCTGTCTGTCTGTCTGTCTGTCTGTCTGTCTGTCTGTCTGTCTGTCTGTCTGTCTGTCTGTCTGTCTGTCTGTCTGTCTGTCTGTCTGTCTGTCTGTCTGTCTGTCTGTCTGTCTGTCTGTCTGTCTGTCTGTCTGTCTGTCTGTCTGTCTGTCTGTCTGTCTGTCTGTCTGTCTGTCTGTCTGTCTGTCTGTCTGTCTGAACTTTGAAATTCAATTACAAGAGAACCATGGCCGACCGCCAAGTTCTTTTTGCACGTAAATTCTTAAGAAATCGCGGTCCATCGAGGATAATTTTTTAGCGAATTTCGAGTCCGCTAATGTATAGTATTACCTTTATTTTTGCTCTTTGAGCTCTGAACATATGATAATCATATGTCAATAATATACCAAAAACCTTTGAAGTATTCGCGTTTTAGATTCGTTAGACTCATTCGTTGGTGACAAAAAGTGGCATAAAGTGTTTATACAAGGTCATAATTTTCTAAGGGATTCGCGATTTTGTTTTTATGTAATAAAGCGTCTTTAGTGATGACAGTAAAGTTGGAAACAAATTTTACAAAGTTAAGGGGGGAGATACATATAGAACTGTAATTTTTTCAAGTTTTTCGTGAATTTTTTAACCAATAAGGAATTGTGCTGGAATTTCGTAACTTGGCTTGTTGATTACATTGTTCTTATATAATTTTATCTTTCAAAATGGCGGCCGTGGGAATTTTTTTGACAGGCTATATTAAAAAAAGTAGTCCAGCTGCGGATCGTCCACAGGTCGCTGTGTAGATCCGATTTTTTATGAAACTAAGTTTATTTTGTTAAAAAATAGAATTACATGGAATATCTCAAAAACTATGGTTGTGGCACTCTTTCAAAGTTAAAAATCTATTGTTTTCATAATTTTT